AGCTTCATGGTTTTGTTTGTTTGTTTTGTTTTTAAATCTTGTGTTGTTTTTTGGAAAATGTATATATGGTTAAAAAGAGTCCCTTTGGTCTCAGATAGTAAATGATCATGGCTGCTTTTTGTTGTTACCAATAATAAAGAACTAGTTTCTTGCAGGTTTCCTTTCTCTGAGTTGTGCCTTGTAGTAGGCTCTTGACTGTTACTGAGGAAGGACACTTTGAGAATAGCCTTAAAAATTTTTCTGCTGCTTTTATTATTAGAATGTTATGAAGAATTTTATCTAATGTGTTATTTCTAAAGACCGGCTCACATGTTTTGCTTTCTCAGCTGTTTGGTTTTTTTTTTTTTTTTAATTTTTTGACAATACTACTCAGTGTAACTGATCATCTGATCATAGTTGGGTTTTTTTTTATGTTTTTAACTCTGGCTGTCATGAATTCAGATCCAAAATTAAACATGTAAATTTGTATATTATGTTCCAGGGTTTCTTCTCAGTATTTTATTTTATGGTTTGCCAATAAGAACCTTTGCACTTGGAGGGTATCAACTACTGTGTCAAGCTCATTTTGAGAATAAGAGTCACTAAAGGAATGATACAATCGCACAGTGGATCTCTTGACAATATAAAGATTGCGAAGACTTTTGAGTCATTTGTTTTTTCTTAAATTGTCTTAGTCCCAGAGAGCTTTAAAGTGAAAAAGTCAGAATATTTACTTAGTCCCATCTTTTACAGTGGGTCTTACTCAGTTTTACTTAGGAGCCTTACTCATTTGCCAAGAGGTTGTGTGTGATGAAAGATGGAGGTCGGGGATGACAAGGCTCTCTGGGCAGATGACTCCTTGTATAGTTATGAGTAAGACAATAAAAGGTCATATCGAACTACTTCCTCTTGATTGAGATCATTGGAGTCTAATGCAGACAAATAGCAGTGTGTTTTCTGAACTTAGCATAATTCTGCACTTAAGACAATTAGTGGAATAAGGAACACCAGAAGTCCATCCCTCTATAAAACAACAACAACAAAAAGTGGCCAAAACTCTCAAAATCTACCTTTTCAGGATTCTGGAAACTAACCAAAAGATCATAGCATCCAGGGGAACATTTAGTCCAGAAAAATCACTGACTCTTTGTTAGAACAGTGAACTTTATGGCATTTTAACTTTGGCCCCATCCCCTGCCATTCAGCTTAGTGGTAGTCTTGTAAATAACAACCCATGTACTTGGTACTGATACTAGTATAGAGGGAGCAGAATGGACCTCATCCACAGTGAACTGTAATTAATTTGATTTGATCTGTCTGGTGGCTCCCTAGAAGACTTATACAAAAGACCTGTATCTCACCTAACTTGAAACTCTTCCTGTGCTAAAGTGGCTTTGCTGGGAGTATTTGTCAAAAATATTTACAAGCAGATGTACTAAGTCATTGCTGTGTGAGGAAGGGACAGCAGTTGAGGCAAAAAAAAAAAATACACTAACTAAAAGCTTGGGAAGGAAAGGGAATAAGGGCTTTGAAATTCTCCAACCTGGGAATCTAAAAGACTACACACTTGACCAGGGCTGTGCATGTGCTTGGGAAATAACAGAAGGTCCTGTGATCTCACCTCTGGCTGACCTTGAGGTTCAGCATAAGCAGGAAGTGAAGGCAAAGGCAGAGCTGTGAACTGCCTGTCTGAGAGTTGAAGGCATGTCCCAACATGTGGAGCCCATCTGCAAAGACTGGGAGAAGTTTTTAGTTCCAGGCTTTTAAGGAAATCTCTTTCCAATCACTATCTGACCACTAAGCTAATAGAACAGAGACTTCAGTGGTCACACATATCAAAAAATAACAAACCACAGTATTCGGAAGAGTCATTAAACAAGGAAACAACTACAACAAACAGTAATGATAAACCTCGAAGAAGGGAAAATGATTGCTAGAGTTGCCACATTATAATATTTGACACTCAGTTTTCAACAAAAACTATGCAGGAAACAAGAAAGGCCATTTCACAGGAGAAAGGAAAAGAAACTGCCCCTAGGAAGCACAGACATTGGATTTAATAGATAGACTTTAGGTAAACTGTCTCGGATGTACTCAGAGAGCTAAAGGAAACCAGGAGAATTGAGGTATTTCCAAATAGAAAATATCAGAGAAATTATAAAAAGGAGCTAAATGTAAGTTATAATAGCTGAAAGGTATAATAACTGAACTGAAAAAAATCACAAGTGTTTTAATAGCAGATTTGAGTAGGCAGAGGAAAGAATCAGTGAAGACAGGCCAATTGAAATGTCTAGTTTGAAGAGTAGAAAGAAAAAAGTAAAGAAAAATGAACAGAGCTTTAAAGACCTACGAGATACGATCAAAGTGTACCAGCATATGTACAATGGGAGTCCCAGAAGGAGAGAAAACAGAAGGGGTGGAGAGGATATTGAAGAAATAATGCCCTAAAACTTTATAAATTTGATGAAAATCATTCTTCTACATATTTAACAAGCTCAGTGAACTCCCAAGTAGGATAAATTCCAAGTGAAGACATATAATCAAACTGCTAAAAACAAACAACATCATGATAACAGCAAGAGAAGCAACTCATCACATAAAAGGATCCTTAAGATTATAGCTGATTTCTTACCAGAAACATCTGTCAAACTTATCCCTACAAGAAATGTTAAAGGAGTCCTTCAGGTGAAAAAGAGGGTATGAAACAAGTCATTCAAAATCACAGTAGGAAAAAACACAGGTAAAGGTAACTACATAGGTAATTATAAAAGTCAGTATTATACATTTCATTTGTAGTAATAATTTCTCCTTTTTTCCTTCATATAAAAGACAACTGCATAAAACAAAAGCTGCAAGCCTATGTTTATGGGCATATTATATATAAAGGTATAATTTGTGACAATAACAATATAAGGAACAGGAGTTATCTATGAGCAACATTTTTTTATACTGTTGGAAGTAAATTGATATTAATCCAAACTAGGTTGTTATAAATTAAGATGCTAATTGTAATTTCCAGTGCAGGCACTAAGAAAACAACAAAAAATATATAGTAAAAGAAATGGTATAATAGCAAGTTTGCGTTTAACGTGATATTAAACTTAATTAAAAGGCAGAGATTTGCAGAATGGGTAATAATGATCTAATTATTGATGCAAGTATACAAATTGTTAAAAGTAAAAGATTAAAAAAGGGTATATGCAAACAGAAACCAAAGGGAGCTGGAGTTGTAAAACAAGGTTAAATAGACTTAAGATGAACATTGTTAATGGGAGATACGAGGGCATTGTGTAATGATAAAATGGTCTGTCCATAGAAGGAAATATAACAATTATAAACGTGTGCACATAACAGAGCCTCAAAATACATAAAGCAGAAACTGACAATTAAAGGAAGAAAGTTCAGCAATAGAAGTTGGAAACTTCAATACCCTATTTTCAATCAAGAATAGAACAAGCAGATAGAAAATTATCAGGGAAATAGAAGACTTGAACAACACTATAAGCTAACTAGACCTAACAGACTTAAATAGAACATTCTTTCTAGCAACAGCAGAATACACATTTTAAGTGCACGTGGAACATTTTCTTGTATAGACCATATATTAGGCCACAAAACAGGTTTCAGTATATTTAAAAAATATATTTTAAAATATTCAATATTCAATATATTTTAAAAATACATTGAAATCATACAAAGTATGTTGTCCAACTACATTGATAGAAATTAGAAACCGAGTTAAATGGGAAAATTCACAAAGGTGTGGAAATTAAAGCAACTGAAAAATACTGAAAATATCTAAGCCAGTCTTAGTGATGTGAGTGTGCAGTTTTTAAGCACAGTATATATACATTGATAAGTTTTTATTCATGTACTTGGAAATTTAAGAAGAGTTTTGATAGTTGCAATGAGTTCTAGTTTTAGGAATGTGTATTGTTCCAGAGTTTTATTCTTTATTATTTGTTTAAATATTTTACAGTCATGAGAAATACTAGATAACCCCCAAATCTATCTATTGTAAGATTTTTTCCCCTCTCATCAGATTTTTTCTGATTATGTTTTATGTGAATTAATGAAATTGGCCTATATTTTCTGTGTATAAGTTAGCTGGCACTTACAGGATCAGATGTATACTTGATGTATTTTAAAGGGAAAAGGTTATCAAATATGTTTTGTGAATAAGTGGCAAATTTCTTTATTTCCTGTTTTGATTCCAGATCTTCAGGTGTTAAAGGTGGGATGATCCATGATATTTAGTAAAATATGCTATGTTGTTTATTAGTAACAATGGCAGTTTAAAGGTCTTTAGTGGAATAATCAGAAAATGTTAAAGCTAATTCTGAAACTCTTAAAAATTATTCTCCCCTGAGAGTTAGCATTGAGAGTCTTATTTCTAATTAATGCTCATTCATTTCTCTCTCATTCTATTTATTTCTAATGGAAATTTAATCAAAATATTTTCCCCACCACTAAAGGTTAACATTTTTTAAAATTTTATTTTTACTGTCGACACTATTACAGATACCCCTATTTCTCCCACTTTGCCCACTTCCACACAACACCCCCCCCACGACCTTCTCTCTGGCCATCACTACACTGTTGTCTGTGTCTGCGTGTCATGCGTACTTGTTCTTTGGCTGATCCCGTCATCACCCTCTTTCATCCAGTCCCCCTTCCTCGCTCTTCTTTACAGCTGTCAGTCTGTTCCATGTACACATGCCTCTGTTTCTATTTTGTTTCTCAGTTTATTTTGTTCATTAGGTAAGTTTTTTAATAAGCTGCAGTAATTTTAATGTTTTAGAAAGGTAACAGCTATTTTTTTGGTAGGGAAAATTTTAGTTTTCTTACTCTTGATATGGCAAAAGGCTAGAGAGCTTTTTACATTTATCTGAAAAGACAAATTTTCATGTAGCAGAACTATTTTGAGCATGTAGATCAGAGGTTCTTCACATATTTACAAAGCTATTTGTATGGGATACAAGTTAAACTTGAAATACATGGCACATGTTAATTTCTTTCAGGAGAAGGAAGCCAACACCCTTTTGGAGCCATGAATATTGTCCGAACGCCATCTGTTGCTCAGATTGGAATTTCAGTGGAATTATTGGACAGTCTGGCTCAGCAGACGCCTGTAGGTAATGCTGCTGTATCCTCAGTTGACTCATTCACTCAGGTAATCTAATGCACGTTTTGTTATGTTCTAAAATACTTAGAAATTATATTCTATACTTTAAAAATTATCCTGGTGTAGAAAACATATAAAAATATAGGTAAACACATAGGGTGGGCAAAAGTAGGTTTCTAGTTGTTTGTATGGAAAATAATACAATAATTAATAAAGAAGAAACTGTGTTTTGTGTATTCACAGCTATAAACCTAATTTTGCTTCACCCTGTATATGACATAAGTTATTGGCTTCCATGGACATTTTCAGCTGGTCTGATTTCTCTATAGGTATTTTAAAATTTGTAAGTGCTTTTATGAGACGAAATGTTTGTATAGCAATAAATATGGGCTTAATTATAAGTTTTTCTCTTTCCCTCCCACAATTACTATGTTAGACAGTGGGTACATAGTTGTGAACCTGTTAAGCAAGATCCTTGTGCTCATGGAACTTAAAGGGTTATAATCCTGTAAGGGTTGACTCAACAGCTGTATAGCAGAAGCCTGAGAAGGGGAGGAGGGTCTAGGCAAAGGCAGAACTAGTGCAAAGGCCCTGCACTAGAAATCTGTTACGTTTGAGGAATAACAAGGTGCTTGTGGTTGGAATAATGTGAGCAAAGGTGAGACATGGCAGATGAGGCTGGAGATAATGGGGGAAGTGGCTGCAGGATACATCATATGGGACTTCATTGCCTTTTTTAAGGACTTTGGCTTATATTCTGTTTGGAGGAGAAAAACAAAGAGTTTTGAGCAGAAGAGTAATATGATTTAAATTGAATTTTGAAAGGATCACTTTTGCATGGATTTCTATTTTCATTTCTACTTTATGCCCAAACTCTTCCTAAGTATAAATTCCCATTCAATATATTTAAACATAGCAATTTAAAATTTGTCTTTCCAAAGCATCTTTTTTGGAAATCTTTTTGTTGTTGTTGTTCTAATGCTGACTCTTTGTCTTGCACAGCTGTCGTCAAGGTATTTTACAAAACTACCTTGAAAGATTTTAAAAATATTTCATTAAAAAATCATAAGCATGTAATTCTTTAACATAACAATATCACACTCAAGCACACCATGTGACACACCATGAGGTGAAATGTTCAAGTTAAAACTGTAAATTATTACACCCATATTACTACCCTACCAGCCACACTAAAGCAGGTGTTACATTTGCTGGACCCTGTTTGTCATGTTGTCACATATGCTTAGGTTTGTTTCTGGGCTCTCCCTTTTATTCCAATTAGTTTATTTGCCTGTCCCTTTGCCAGTAACAGTCTTAATGCTTGATAGGCCAAGTCCCTTCTCCTAGTCATCAAAATAGGCTTAGGTATTCTTCAGAATAATTGTAATATCATATGGAGTTCCATGAAAAAAACCTTGTTGGAATTTAGTTGGAAATAACACTGGTTTTATAGGTTTGGGCAGAATCGCTGCGGTTATCACATTAAGTTTCCTACCTGTGAACGTGTTTTATCTTTCCACCGAACATGGTATTAAGTCCTTTCATTTATTTTCTTTTCAAGAGTGTTAGCATATTTTCCACAAATGTTATCAGCTTGTTTTAACTTTTTTTTTCTAGGTATTTTAAAGACTTTGTTTCTATTCTGAATTGGATACTTTAAAATTTAATGTATAAAGTTTTTTTGTTGCTAATGTGGAGGGTTGCCCTCCCTCCTTGCCCCCACCTCTTGCTGATACTGATCTTTTAGTGCTCTTACTGGACTCTGATATTATTGGGTTGGCCAAAAATTTTGTTTGTTTTTTTGTAAGATGGCTCTAGGAGGCTTGGTTGTCTTTAACTTTATTGGAAACAGTTTTGTTACATTGTATTGTGACAGTTGTCATATCAAAGTACATTTAAAAAAAAAACTGACCTGGGTGGTGTGGTCCAGTGCATTGAGTGCCTGCTTGCGAATCAGAAGGTCGCCAGTTCAATTCTCAGTTGGATCACATGTTTGGGTTGTGGGCTGCTCCCCAGTTGGAGGTGTGTGAGAGGCAACCAATCGATGTTTCTCTCGCACATTAATTCCTCTCTCTCTCTCTTTCTCTCTCCTTACCCCTCTCTCTAAAAGTAAATAAATAAAATCTTTAAAAATAATAATAAAAATATCAAAATAGGTGAATTTTGTGTATCCATTTTGATATTAAAGATGGAAGAAAATAAGTAACATTTTTGGTGTATGTTGTTTTATTATTTCAAGAAAGGTAAAAATACAACTGAAACACAAAAAAAGATTAGTCAGTGTAGAGAGAAGGTTCTGTGACTGATTAAACCGTGTCAGAAGTGGTTTGCGAAGTTTCAGGCTGGAGAGATCTCGCTGGTCTATGCTCCACGGTCGGGTAGACTAGTTGAAGTCAGTAGCAATCAAATTGAGACATTCATTGAGAACAATCAGCGTTCTACCATATGCGAGACAGCCACCATACTCAAAATATCCAAATCAATAAAGTTATTGGTGAAAAAGAAAAACATGTCTTTCATCCTACAGAAGAAACTAAATAAATTTTTTGGCCAGCCTAATAGTCCAAGTGTTTTAATAGTAGATTCTTTTGGATTAAAGTACCTTGGTATTATTCAACAAAAACCCTAACGGGATATTTCCTCTCATGTTAGAAAAGAGACAACAGGAGACTTATTGGCTAGTTTTGTGTTCCTAAGAAAGTAATGTTAGGAAGATTATTTTTGAGTGAATTGAAGGTAGTATTATCTTTAGTAGTTTATTTACTTCTGGGCTCAGGGCTTAAACCAGATGTGAAGGATATGTGGATTTGCCCATTTGAAGGTCGATGAGAAGAAACAGGTGAGGAAATAGAAGAAATGGAATAGTATTGCCTTTCTCTTTACATTTGATGGCAAGTAACCAGTTGTTCCTTTATTTAAGTTTTATCTTTCTGGCAAGAAAAACATTTCTTAGACATGGTTACTGCTTTATGTGAGAAAATAGATTGGTTTGAGGAGGGTGATTTTTGAGGAGATGAACATAGTTGAGATAGAGAGAGAGATAAAAGAAGATACTTTGAAGGAAAAACATTTTCTCCCCAAAATAAATTGTTAGGAATATAAAATATTTGGTAGCAGAAATTCTTTGAGACACAAAGAAAGTACTAAAGGCAGATTGTTATTTTTTTTTTTTTGTGCCATAATGTCATTTTATGACCTCCCTTAACTTTTAGCATTAAATTGTCTTAGAACTCAGTTCTTAAAACTGAGTTAAGGCAGGAATATCTTAAAGTTTTTATTTATTTATATTTAGAGAGATGGGAAGGGAGGGAGAAAGAGAGGGAGAGAAACACATTGATCAGTTGCCTCTCGCTTGTCCCCAACTGGGGACCTGGCCCGCAATGCAGGCATGTGCCCTGACCTGGAATCTAACCGTCAATCTTTTGATTCGCAGGCTAGCACTCAATCCTCTGAGCCACACCAACCAGGGCATTATATTTAAAATATTAAGGTCTAAATGGAGTATTTAGTATAATACACTAATCTATTCATTATTAACTTTCCAGTTCACACAAAAGATGTTGGACAACTTCTACAATTTTGCTTCATCATTTGCTATCTCTCAGGCCCAGATGACACCAAGTCCATCTGAAATGTTTATTCCAGCAAATGTGGTTCTGAAATGGTATGGGACATTTTTTGTGTCTAATATTTTCGTAACCATATATGTTTTTTGCATGTGAACATGTTTCTTACATTTAAACATATTCTTTTATTGTGGACATTATACATTATAATTTGCATGCCATTAAAAAGTATGTACTACAGATTTCAGAATATGAATGGTTCTTACCCTAAATAATCTCGTATAGTAGCCATTTTGAATTTATAAAGACAGGGCAATACACTTGTCTGTGTTTTAGAGACCATAGTTAAGGAGTATAATTATATATATGTATAAATACAGCATGTGTGTATGTGTATATATATATCTATATATAATACAACTATATATATTATTTTATAGTTTATATATATACTATACAACTATATATGTATTTTAAATATTTTATTTATTTATGTTTAGAGGGGAAGGGAGGGAGAAAGAGAAGGAGGGAAATATCAATCTGTGGTTGCCTCTTGTTCCCGCCCCCCCCGCCCACTGGGGACCTGGCCCACAACCCAGGCATGTGCCCTGAATGGGAATTGAACCAGTGACCCCTTGCTTTGCAGGCCAGCACTCAATCTACTGAGCCACACCAGCCAGGGCAATTTTTTATATTTTGAATTATAAGTACCATATATGAGGCTTGCAATGTCAACAAAACTTAATTTTTGTAAGTTTAGAATGATTTCACCTAGAGAAAATATATATAAGGCATTAGGGTGGTTTATACTGCACCCTGTACATGAATGATTAATGAATGTATTTCCCCGGCTTTCCCATGTTTTCATTTTTGCAGGTGTTTCTGTTCACTTTGACTTTCCTAGTGGTGGGGGAGTGTATAGGGAAAGTTTACTGAGAAGCCATAGCATGGTGAAGCATGAATAGCACTGAAATATATGAGATTTGAGTTATATGACCTTGAATCTATTACTCTCACGTACTTAGCTGTGAAATGGAGAAAGAAGAGTTAGATTTTTTTTTCTTCGGGTCCCTTAATAAAATTTATTAAGATTTATGCTTTTTGATATGAGAACCAGTTATACTTAAATCACTGTTTGCTATCTTTGTATAAATTAATAATTAAACTTTCAGATGAACTTTTTAGCTTTTTACATTCTTAGCTTTTGCGAAGTGACATGTAAAATTGTCTGCTTTTTAATAAATCATTTGAAAAATTATGAAAGACTTAATTTTCTTGTAAATGTGTTTTTCTTTCTTTTGTAGGTATGAAAACTTTCAAAGACGACTGGCACAGAACCCTCTTTTTTGGAAAACATAATTTGAATAAAATAATTTTTAATGGATTCTGAAATTTGTCATGTTTTGAAAATAAATGACTCCATTTAAAAGCATGAAATTAAAAGGGTCATGAAAACTAAGTTTAAAAACTGCTTAGTGACTATGAAGCATAACTAAAATATTTATAAAAAATTAAAGATATTGAAAATGAAAATATGTTTCTCATTCCTGACTACTTCCCCTTAAGCTTAAAATATTCAGAGGCAAAACATTTTGTTTTGGTTATGATTCATTTTTTACTTAAAAATAAAGTATATTTACAATGATAGTGTTCCAAATAACATTGCATTTATAATCTTTTATTTATTTTTATACTAGTTTTTTAGAATAGTTAAAATCAACCATATCAAAATTTGGGGAAATTTTTTAAAATATCAAATATATAGTTTTACATATGAAGAAATAATTTTCAGTTAGGATTGCTTAGGATTACAGGTTTTATTTTTTTTACTTAATATAGGCTGGCTGTCAGTTTTTTATATCTGCAAATTCATATATGTGTATTTATTTAACAAAATTGCCATGGTTAATACCGATGAGGTTTTATTTAATATTGGTAATGTTGTTAGACAGTTTTGTTAAGAAGATAGGATCTTGTGTGTGGAGATGAAGCTGGTATGTCATTCAGAAGGGAACTCGGACTCATTTGTGCTGGCGACTTCCATTGACCAAAACCATCATGATCTCACCTGTAATCATAGCTACATTTGTTAGCTTGCTTTACCAAATGAGTGTATGTATAAGAACTGTGTGGTGACTCCAAAGGAAGAGCACATACAGGAGTTTGGGACCTGGAGTTGGTTTTGGATTGTCTCAGTAGAGATTGGTGAAAATTTAGAAAATAGAAAGTTGCTGGTATAGTTACTCTCTTTAAGAACATTTGAGCCTATGCAGAATTATTGTTAGATCAGTTTATGGTCTTGAAACATGCATCTGACTGAGCTGGTGTTAAGATTTTGAGGTTAGGTAATTTTTTGCATTGTTAAAGCTTGGTAGACTTACCAAACCTTTATTGCAAGTTGCACATTTTTGCAAATTGTACTTTCTCTTTCAATTCTCCGTTCCCTTCAGGTCTTTCTTCAGCCTAAGTCAAGGATAGACCATTATCTTCTGGAGTTAGAATCAGTTCAGATTTGTATTGCTATTTACTATGTGTCAAGTATTCAATGATATGATTGGTTTCAAGCCTTTATGCTAACAATAGTTGATCACTGATGAATCATATGACTTGATAGTGGGCTACACAGCAGTAGTTAAGACTGCACAAAATGTGTCAACCAACTGTAATAAAATCAGTAGAAGCAGAATGATTGTTTGTTTACTAGAATGCAAAGCCAGACCCTAGTTACAAAAACATGTCCTACAGTCCACCTGGGTGTAGTCTAATTTTCCTTTAGCCTAGTTAGAGACTGTTCCATATGTCCAGTTATCTTTATAGAGTTGCAGCAGGAAGTGTTAAATACAAACTGCCACTTGGCTTGCCAAGAGGAAATACAATGCTATGTGATTGTCCATAACAGCTCTAGGTGGTGAATGTAAAGGGGTTGGTTGGGCTTGTACAGCAGTGAATCAAAACTAGAACAACTACTTTTAGTTTTGCTAAAACTATAGCAAAACTAAAGCTCTGCTATAGCACAGGATGAATTCTAAATTTGGACGTCCTTTTCTAGTTGTATTATTCTTGCTGTTGAAGTAGGTAGTCTTGCATAGTGTGCATAGAGAGTCCCTCTGAGTAGCCAATATATGCTTCATTTTGGAACTTCCTGGTTATCCTTTTCAAGAAAACACTACACTGAAGAGAAAAGGGCTTTAAATATCTGAACGCCTCTTCATTATTTCAAGTATGTAAGATGTGTCTAAGTTTAGGAGATAGATGAAAGCCTGGTGTTGACCTAAGTAATCCCTGGTCAGTTACATATAATATTAGGAGTATAAATATATTTTATAGCAGGGATGAGCCAATAATTGTTTCTTTATGGTTGGGCACATTCTCGTAGTTTAGGTCTTGCATTGAAGTCTGAGAAATCTTAGGAGAAAATGACTAGCTCCAGCTTTGCCCCCTCTCCTGGTGAGCTTGGTTCTGGAACAGTGCTATAATGATCATAACATAAGCATTTTGTTGACTTGGAGAAAAGTTCCAGTTTTTACAAGAATTGGGACAAATAATGTGAGGAAAATTCAAATATCAGATGGGATCTTTGGGAGGGAATTGATCTCAGGAATTTAAAGGAATGAATATTAAATCTTTTACGGAGGAACTTGACAGATTCAGAATTGCTAGGGTCTGAGGAAACGGCTGAAAATTTTTGCATTTCCTTTTTTAAGATTTTATTTATTTGTTTTTAGAGAGAGGGGCAGGGAAGGAGAAAGGGAGAGAAACATCAGTGTGTGGTTGCCTCTTAGGCACCCCGCACTGGGGACCCGGCCCACAGCCCAGGCATATTCCCTGACTGGAAATGGAACTGGTGACCCCTCAGTTTGCAGGCCCATGCTCAATCCACTGAGCCACACCAGCCAGGGCAAATTTTTGCATTTCTTAAAGTAACCAATAAAGATGACAGAGGACTAAGAGTACAATGAAAAAGATGTAAGAGTATACTAAGAAAACTGTTGGATGATCTCCAGGAAGTGCCAAACCATAATAAGCAAAAGAAGGAAAAGGAGCAAAGGTATCAGAAAAATTAACCTTTTTTTCCTGCTTTGACCAGAAGCTGTCTACTTTTTGTTGTCATCTGCTTGACTTGAGGGTCTTGGTGAATGGTCTTTGTCTAAAGATACTGGCTTCTGGAGGATTCCTAAGAATTGTAGGTTTAAAGACTCCTTCCAGAGTGGTGGTCCAACTGTCTGGAGAAAATATTTGTGATTTAGATGGGAAAATGAATCCAGAATCAGTGTCTTGGAGTTTTATTGCCACGGTAGTTGCATAGTGTCTATTAGGCTAATTTTTTATTGAGGGCAGTTTTCTCTGATGTCTCTTCCAGAAGACAGTTTGCTGAAGACTGAGAATGTTAAAGACAGTAATGTTTTTGTAGAATAAAGGAGAGTGGAATCCATGATTGAGGTATAGCACAATTAATTTGTAAGATTATTATACATTATAATTACTACAAGACTCAAATGTATTACGGACAGTGATGGTCTTTAGGCTGTAAAGTATATCTATTTGTAGACAGTTATTGCATCAGTCTGTACATGAACATGACCTTGTTTCTTCTTTTTTCTTTAAATATATTTTATTGATTATGCTATTAGATTGTTCCATTTCCCCCCTTCACTCCTCTCCACCCTGCACGCCCTCTCCCACCCACATTCCCCCCCTTTAGTTCATGTCCATGTGTCATAAGTTCTTTTGCTCCTACATTTTCCATACTATTCTTGCCCTCCCCGTCTATTTTCTACCTACCATCTATGCTACTTATTTTCTGTACCTTTTCCTTCTCTTTCCTCCTCCCACTCCCCTGTTAATAACCCTCCATGTGTTCTCCATTTCTGTGGTTCTGTTCCTGTTCTAGTTATTAGTTTGTTTTTGTTTTTGGTGCAGTTGTTAATAATTGTGAGTTTGCTATCATTTTACTGTAGATGTTTTTTATCTTCTTTTTCTTAGATAAGTCCCTTTAACATTTCATATAGTAAGGGCTTGGTGATGATGAACTCTTTTAACTTGACCTTATCTGAGAAGCACTTTATCTGCCCTTCCATTCTAAATGAAAGCTTTGCTGGATAGAGCAATCTTGGATGTAGGTCCTTGCTTTTCATCAGTTGGAATACTTCTTTCCAGCCCCTTCTTGCCTGCAAGGTCTCTTTTGAGAAATCAGCTGACAGTCTGATGGGAACTCCTTTGTAGGTTACTGTCTCCTTATCTCTTGCTGCTTCTAGGATTCTCTCCTTCATTTTAATCTTGGGTAATGTAATTATGATGTGCCTTGGTATGTTCCTCCTTGGGATCAACTTCTTTGGGACTCTGAGCTTCCTGGACCTCTCAGAAGTCTATTTCCTTTGCCAGATTGGGGAAGCTCTCCTTTATTATTTGTTCAGATAACTTTTCCACTTGGTCTTCCTCTTCCCCTTCTGGTACCCCTATAATTCAGATGTTGGAATGTTTAAAGATGTCCTGGAGGTTCCTAAGCCTCTCCTTATTTTTTTGAATTTTTGTTTCTTCATTCTTTCCTGTTTGGTTGTTTTTTTCTTCCTTCTGGTCCACTCCATTGATTTGAGTCCCAGTTTCCTTTCCATCACTATTGGTTCCCTGTACATTTTCCTTTATTTCACTTAGCGTAGCCTTCATTTTTTCCTCTAATTTGCGACCATATTCAGCCAATTCTGTGAGCATCCTGATCACCAGTGCTTTGAACTGTGCATCTGATAGGTTGGCTATCTCTTTGTTGCTTAGTTGTATTTGTTCTGGAGCTTTGGTCTGTTCTTTAGTTTGGGCCATTTTTTTTTTTTTTGTCTTGACGCACCTGTTAACGTAATGAGGGGTGGAGCCTCAGGTGTTCATCCAGGTGGGGCAACCCACGTCGCTGCATTGTGATGCTGTATGTGGGGCAGGGGTCTGAGAGGGAACAATGGCACTTGCTCCTCTCTTTGCTGGATTTCAGTCCCTCCCGCCGCTTCCCCCAAGCAGACTGGGCCCTTCTGGTGCTGATTCCTGTGTGGGTGGGTTTGTGTATGTTCCAGGACCCTGTGGTTCCCTCCAAAGAACTCCCCTGTGAGTCTGGGAGTCTCTCCCGGCACTTCAACCCCCACAGGTATTTTCAGTCAGTGTTTTGAGGATTTATTTCCCGGCGCTGGAGCTCTGGGTTGTGTGGTCTGTCTTGCTCCCCAGTTTCACCTGGTTTATCTGTACTCAAATGTGGGACCACCTGGTCTGCCAACTGCCTTGCATGCCATGCACCTCCACATTCTGCCGTCTTGCTAGGTCTGCCCGCTGCCACCTGGTGCCCAGGGTGTGCCAGCCACCACTTTTTTTGCCGTGACCCATCTCTGCCCTGCAGCCCTACTCCAT